TAACCTGAGAACGAAGAAGATGCAGGAGGATGTTTACCTCCTGCATAATCAAACTTGAATACAAAATAAATATATACCACACTTACATGTTTCTCTCGTTTTCGCCATTGTTGTCTTCCACCCCTCATGAGAGGAGTAGAAAACCCAATTCAACAACACCATAAATCTCAACGAACTGAATCGAAATCAAAGTGCTCCACCAATTGCAAAAGCTGTAATCAACTTGATGGAGTCTCCGACTTACTACCAACCACCGCCGCCGCTACATCACTTCGACTCATCTCGCCCCACCTTATGCTTTCCGATTATCATTGATCATTCAATATAATCCTGAATTTGGTCAGCCGGTAAGATACGAACGAGAGGGAAATAGCAGTGGGTGGATATTTGGTTTCGTTGTGATGTTCGTGAGACGGAAAAGAAAATAAGAGAGAGAGAGAGAGAGAGAGAGAGAGATGGGTGGGCCCCCTTTATATTAAATAATTATATATATATTTTTCTTTTTTTTTTAAATGAGGCAAAACTTCATAAATGGTCCCTGTAGTGGTGAAATGACCGAAATGTCATTCATTTAACGGCCAAAAGCTAACGGAGTTAACGAAAAAGACCATTTGTTAAAAGTTTTGAAACCACAGGGGCAATCCGTGAGGTTTTTGTAAATTAAGGACTAAACTTCAGATTTTCGAAAACCACAGGGACCATTTTTGAAGTTTTGTCATTTTTAAAAGTATGAACTAAATAGATATTGGGAGGGAAGTTTAGTGTAATTTACTCTTTTCAAAAAAAAAAAAAAAAAAAAAAAAATCCGTAAAAGCCGCTTGATCATTTTGGCATAATACCCTTTAATGCAACCAACCAATTAATTCTTGAGACATCAAGTCATCAAGTGGATGACACATGCTTTAAATACTCTTCTAAAACAAACGAGAGTATTCATTACTGAAAATGACTACAACCTACCCATGAATCACATGTAACACCAACCGAAGGTACATCATTTAACCTATATACATGTGACAACTAAGATATGGAATATTATATAAAACATGCCAACGGCATTTGAAGTTCTTATTTTTCACTTTAGAACAAGATACTTTTTTGGTGAATAATGTCTAAAAAGACCATAAGCCGAAAGGGATGAAACCATAGCCATCAAGAAAAATGCTGCATATCCACAAAGTAGTGCCCCACCTATTTGATTACAAAATCGGTTGAACTTGTTGCATAGTTTCATCCAGAATAGATCGTGTTCACCCCTGACTGCCAATAAGGAGGCGGTAAGGCATGCTGAGTTTGCTGCAAATAACATGTACACGACTGCCTATAGGGTTTAAACCACATAAACTTTCAGTACCTATACAATATTAATGGTAAGGACCATACATGCATTATGGTTGGATGGCGTTGATACATCGATACTTTAATTAATCGGGTCTAACTCTTTTTTAGTGTTGAAATGTTTTAGTTACTCGATTTTGTTGGTTAGTGTTGGTCCATTTATCAACTTCATTTTAATGGTCCCTTTTCTCTTTAATCATCCAACTAAATGAGATGGATTAATTAAGTGGGTGTTTGGCAAAGCTTAAAAATGGAGTTTTTTTGACTTATTATCGGTTTCAAACCGGTATAAACTAAAAAAGGTGTTTGGATAAAAATAGTTTATACCGGTATGATACGGGTAATAAATCAAAAGCAATAAGTAAAAGCCCCTAACTTATCAACTTATAAGCTATAAGCTGAAAAGTACTTGTGATTTTTCATATGCTTAGCCAAACACCCTCTAAATTAACCATTAAGTTTCCCTTGGTCAAAGATTAAGATGTTAACTATTTAAAGCTTGTTTTCTTGTTATTAATTAGAAGACTGATAACACGATAAGTAAGAATACCTGGTCGAATAAGAAAGAGATCCAAGCAAGATGCTTGTAGGAACCATTCATATCTGGTTTCATATGAGAGGAGAGTAGACCTCTGATTATTAGTTGAACCAGATTATAACCTGCAACGGCTACGTCCATGAACACCAACACACTGCACAAAACCATGACAATATTAATTACCAAAATTATTAATGAATGTGATAAACAAACAGCCGGAAACATGTGAATCCAATTTTGGGGTCATGATTAAGTATCCAAAAAACGTTATGTGAGTGTTGTTATTATCTGCACACAGGCTAAACTCTACTTGTACATAATGGACTTGAAACGGGGTTTGAAACTACACCCGTGTTCATAAATCATGGACATCAAGCCTGTTAGACATAACGCAATTTACTGGATGGCACTCAAGTGTAAAATTTGAGCTGATTGATAAGCTTGAGCGCATCCGTACCAGTTCATATTCAACATAAATCTTGAGAGAGAGAGAGAGAGAGAGCGAGAGAGAGAGAGAGAGAGAGAGAGAGAGAGAGAGAGAGAGAGAGCTTACTAGAGAGCATTCATGTCTCTGAAAGTAGCAGTTCGTGAGTATTCGGGGAAGATAAGGCTGGTTTGGGTATCAAATCTAACCAAGCAAGCAGTTGTGAGTAAGAGCAAGGTTGCACATGCTCTTAGAAGTGCCTCCATTCTCGTAATATCCATCTCTCTCTCTCTCTCTCTCTCTCTCTCTCTCTCTCTCTCTCTCTCTCTCTCTCTCTCTCTCTCT